GTTTAAAATACAGTACAGGTCAGGCATGGTGGCTCATGCTTATAATCCCAACATTTTGGGAGGCCAAAGCAGGAGGATCCCTAGAGATCAGAAGTTTGAGACCAACCTGGCAAGAGCCCATCTCTACAAAAAATTTTAAAATTAGCCAAACGTGGTGGTATAGTAGTTCCAGCTACTCGAGAGGCTATGGTGGGAGGATGGCTTGAGCCTGGGAATTCAAGATTGCAGTGAGCTGTGATCATGTCACCGCACTCTATCTACCCTGGGCAGAGCAAAACTCCTGTTTCAAAAATTTAATGAATGAATTAATTAAAATACAGGACAGAGGAGAACGATCCAAGATGGCCGATCGCTAACATCCCGGGATTGCAGCTCTCAGGGAAGACGCGGAGAACTAGAGGACGCCACACTTTCAGACAAAGTCTGGTCGCTCACGGAGCAGAAGATCCCCCAGTGGTGGAAACACACGAGTCGCCAGCGCGACTCTCGTGGTCGGCGCAGCGGTTCCGCCAGCACCTTGACTCGGCAGCGCTCGGCGCAGAGTAAACCGGACCGGTTCCCCTTCTGACCAAGGTTTGGAGCCCCGGGAAGGCAGAGTCGCCTACTGCGGAAACAAGAAGGAAGCCAGACAGGAGAATCCTGGGCAGAAAAGCACCATCAGTTTTAACGCCGCTGCTCTGGCCCGGGGAACTAACAACCTGGACATCCACTCAAGAGACCTAATCTGAAAGTTGGTAATTTCAAAGAGACAGGAGGATAAATTTACAATGACGGGAAGAAACCAGCGTAAAAAAGCTGAGAATACTCAAAGTCAGAACGCCTCTCCCTCTAAAGATGATCACAGTTCCACATCAACAATGGAACAAGGCTTGATGGAGAACGAGCGCCTCCTGATGACAGAATCACTCTTCAAGGAATGAATAATAACAAACTTCAGTGAGTTAAAAGAACATGTTGTAGCCCAACGTAAAGAAACTAGGAACTTTGAAAAAAGGTTTGATGAAATCCTATTGAGAATAGACAACTTAGAGAGGAGTATGAGTGAATTAATGGAACTGAAGAATACAATACAGGAACTCTGAGAAGTATGCACAGGTTTAAACACTCGAATTGTTCAAGCAGAAGAAGGGATATCAGAGGTCAAAGTCCAACTTAATGAAATAAAACGTGAAGAAAAGATTAGAGAAAAAAGGATAAAAAGGAATGAGCAAAGTCTCCAAGAAATGTGGGACTATGTGAAAAGACCAAATTTACGTTTGATAGGTGTACCTGAATGCGACGGAGAGAATGAATCCAAGCTGGAAAATACCCTTCAGGATATTATTCAGGAAAATTTTCCTAAACTAGCAAAGCAGGTCAACATTCAACCCCAGGTAATACAGAGAACACCACAAAAATATTCCTCAAGAAGAGCAACCCCAAGGCACATAATCGTTAGATTCACCAGGGTCGAAACGAAGGAGAGGATACTAAGGGCAGCCAGAGAGAAAGGTCATATTACCCACAAAGGCAAGCCTATCAGACTTATGGCAGATCTCTTGGCAGAAACTCTACAGGCCAGAAGAGAGTGGGGGCCAATATTCAACATCCTCAAAGAACAGAACCTTCAGCCCAGAATTTCATATCCAGCCAAACTAAGCTTCACAACTGAAGGAAAAATAAAATCTTTTATGAACAAGCAAGAACTCAGAGATTTTATTACCACCAGGCCTGCTTTACAAGAGCTTCTGAAAGAAGCATTACACACAGAAAGAAACAACCAGTATTAGCCTTTCTAAAAATACACCAAAAAATAAAGAGCACCAACATAAAGAAGAATTTACACCAACAAATGGATAAAACAGCCAGTCAACATCAAATGGCAGTAACCCTAAATTTAAATTGACTGAATTCCCAATCAAAAGACACAGCCAAAACCCAATGGCATGTTACATCCAGACCTGTTTCACATGCAAGGATACACAAAGACTCAAAACAAAGGGATGGAGAAAGATTTACCAACCAAATGGAGAGCAAAAATAAATAATAAATAAAAAGCAGGAGTTGCAATTCTTGTATCAGATAAAATAGATTTTAAAGCAACAAAGATATAGTTGTAAAAGGATCAATGCAACAACAAGAGCTAACGATCCTAACACCCAGATAGGAGACTTAGATTCAATGAGACAGAAAATTAATAAGGATATCAAGGACTCGAACTCAAATCCAGAACAAGTAAACTTAATAAATATTTATAGAGCTCTCCACTTCAAATACACAAAATATACATTCTTGTCAATACCACATCACACCTACCCATTAGTTTAAATGAAACATTGATTGGCCATTATTAATACCCAATTTTTTTCAAAATAAAGCAATATTTCCATTTACTCTCCCTCTTTCTCTTCCTCTTTCTTCCTCTCCTTTACTTATTTTTTTTTTTCTTTCCTTCTCTCAAAAAAAAAAAAGAAATCAACTTGTAAACCTCTAGATCCAGGTCGGCAATGTCTCTTTCATTGCTTGATTTCCTTTCTTCCCTTCCCTCCCTCCCTCCCCGCTTCCTCCCTTCCTTCCTTGCTTCATCCCTTCCTTCCTCCCTACCGTCCTTATTCCCTTCCTTCCTGCCTTCCCCCCACCCCAAAATAAATAAATAAATAAATAAAATACAGGACAGAGATTCCTCTTAGAGGGCAGAGTGGCAGATACAAATGTGGAATTATAGGCATAGACAGGTGGGTAAACTGATTCAATCTCTGTTTTACCCAACATTAAAAATAGAGAGTGCTCCATGACTGTAGCATTGTAAGAGCCCAACAAGAATGTGCTGAATAAGTAAACGACAAATGTATGAAAAATGAATAACCGAGTGAAGGAAAAGAATGAAGGGGAAAAGATGAAAACAACAACAGCTGGGAAGAAGTAAGGATAAATATCTGTTTCAAAAAAGAGGGGTGGGAGAGGAAGACAGAGTAAAGGAGAAGAATCAGGAGAGCGGAGTATGGTGGTAGTCAAAGAGGAAGCAAGCTACAAGAGTGGCCAAGAAAGTAACATGCTATGGAGATAAAGAAAAATGAGGAGGGCCACAAATCTAAAACGACAAAAGAAGTATTTTGATAACTCTGCAAGAATAGAAGGCAGAATAGAATATACATTGTTTCCAATCAAAAGCATATACTCTCAATACTGATGTCAAGGTTACCTTGAGAATTAAATTTAAAATGATAATAACCATTTATTAACCAATGATAATAACCAATTATTATGGAAATAATAATTTCCCATGTACCAGGTTTTTGCTGGATTTGTAAAATTAACCCAAAATATCATAAGTCAAATTAAGCTGATATGAATTACCGTTAGGAAGTATGACTGATGGTATCTATAACTAAAAAGCTTAAGCTCAACTGACTCTATTGTACTGTATCGGAAAGAATCTGTTAATGGTAAGGAAATAGTCTTGAATGACATATAAAATGGCACCTCAGAGTAAGAAAAAAAGGTGTAACATTCTCCAATACTATCTAAGGGGTAATTGAGACAGGAACTACTAGATGGGAAATAAATCCCAAGAGTGGGATGCATCATGCTATTATAATTTAAGACACTGACCATTACTAAAATCCAACTAACCTACTTGCTCTAATTCCATGTTCAAATAAGCTTCTGATGATAATTTGCTTCCTGTGTTATTTTGTTCAGTGACCATTTGTACTACTTGATGATTATACTTCTCATTATGTGTACATTTTAGTGTTCAGATTAGACTCCAGGGAATCAGTTCCCTAAGCCTAATCACCTCTGGGTATACTAACAAATCACATTTTTAATCCTATAAATTCAAAAACCATCACAGACAGTTGGTCTCCCTCTATATTGCTGAATATCTATTCAAACCACAACATTTTAAATAAATAATTAGCTGAGTAAGTGAGTCATTTTTTGGCCCCAAAGACAAGGATCTATCTTGGTGTTGTCAAACTGCACCAAGTGAATCTGTACAATGCTAAAAGCAGTCTCCCAAAAAAGTGTTTTCTTACTATCATTGAAGGGGATATGTATTCAACTTCTGCAGATCTTAGACAAATGTTTCCTCTCCTAAGACATACATGTGAAAAAAAACTGAAGAGAGCTGTCAGTATACCCAAATAGATTTCCAATTAGGAAGGTACAAAGGAAACCCCTCAGGATATTTATCCTTAAAAAACAAAAACCACTGTGTCACAGTAGAAGCAAAGAATGGATCAATGTTGCAGAAGATAGAGGTGAAGTAAAAAAGCACTACTTCTAGCTACTGTGCAGACACAGCAAAGGAGATATGGAGAAGCAAGACAGTGGGACTCCACGTAGCCCTCCAAGAGACCATGTGCAAGTTTCTCAACCTCTGTGGACCTTGCTTTCCTCTTCTGTAAAATGAGGGAATTGGATCAATTAATCTCTAAGGTTCTTTCCAATTCGAAGTTCTATAATAATTAATTCCTTTAATAATGAATAGGACAGGTATAGAAACAAATTTACCAAGAAAATTTAAGAGTAGCTTTGCTCAAACAATATAGCACATTTCTTCCCAAGTGGAATCTATTTTACCTCCAATTTCCTGGAGTGAAGTCTATTTCACTTCCAACTTTTTGAACCTTTATTTTACATAAAACTAGATCTAATAACATAAAAAAATCAGCATATATAGGGGGAATTATCAGCCTGCTACAGCAGTCATTCAAGAGTTAAAAATTGGGCCAGGAGTGGTAGCTCATGCCTATAATCCCAGCACTTTTGGGAGGCCTCGGCGGACAGATCACTTGAGGTCAGGAGTTCGAAGCCAGCCTGGCCAACATGGTGAAACCCGATCTGTACTAAAAATATAAAAATATTAGTCAGGCACAGTGGTGGGCACCTGTAATTCCAGCTACTCGGGAGGCTAAAAAGGAGAGTTGCTTGAGCCCGGAAGGCAGAGGTTAGGCGACAGAGTGAGACTCCATCTCAAAAAGAAAAAAAGAATAAAAATAGAACAGAAGACTTACGCATGTCTTTCATATCTTAGGGTTTCCCGGATGGACCATGCAACCTGGTAGGGTGAGGCCTGCTCTGAGTCCTCTGGTTCCTCTCCACTCTCTTCAGACCAGTCCAACCCTGGGGTAGATAGGAGATATTGCAAGTTAGAAAAAATTTACTGTTATTCAAAATTCAAATTAAAAAGCTACACAAAATAACATAACCCAACACACCTATAGCAAGTACCATCATGGTGTGAATAAATGCCTCCTGATGAATCTCATTTCTGTTCATACAAAGATATTAATAATGAATGTATGATGCACAATAGGGTTTTTTAAATGACGTAACAACAAAAAGCCTAAGCTATATTCTACAGATGAACTTCTTTTGTCAGACACTTCACTAATGGGGTAGAAATAACAAAAGCAAAGAGAGAGTTCAGGTCACAAAAAAGGTAGAATTTCTTTTTTTTTTTCACTGGGGTTTTGCCCTGTCACCCAGGCTGAAGTGAGTGGCACAATCTCAGCTCACTGCAACCTCTGCATCCTGGATTTAAGTGATTCTCCTGCCTCATCCTCCTGAGTAGCTGGGATTACAGATGCCCGCCACCATACACAGCTAATTTTTGTATTTTTAGTGGAGACGGGGTTTTTCCATGTTGGCCAGGCTGGTCTCGAACTTCTGACCTTAAACGATCCACCTGCCCTGGCCTCCCAAAGTGTTGGGATTACAGGTGTGAGCCACTGCATCTGGCCAGAATTTCTTTAAGTATCAAAACTTCATCCACTGAAATGATGTCAGAAAAACGTAAAATACATTCAAGAGGGTGAAAAAAGAAGCTCAACATATGTTCAGGCATGAAGAAGGTCAATACCTGCTTCTGAATGGTTTAATGAAAACAAACAAAAAAAGGTCAAAAAGTGAAGACAGAGACACTCTACATTTCAACAAAGAAGGGCCCTACAATAAAGTATCAAAGGCAGAAACACTCCATACCCTACTCCCAAACCATTCTTTAGTTCTTACCTTCTATGGGAAAATGGAAGGGTGGGGTGGTAATGCTCTATTACTAATGAGATTTGGGATTTCTTTCAATTATTTTAAACAAAAGCTGAGAGATTTTGTGTTCCACTACATAAAACAAAGTTAGAAGGAAGTGAATAAATGCAGTATATATTAATATTTTCTTAAAGGGTCTTGCTCTGTTGCCCAGGTTGGAGTGTAGCAGTACAATCTCAGCTCACTACAGCCTTGACCTCCTGGGCTCAAGTGATCCTCCCACCTCAGCCTTCAGAGTAGCTGGCACTACAGGTGGCACCACCATGCCCAGCTAATCTTTCTATTTTTTGCAGAGATGGGGTTTCACCATGTTGACCAGGCTGCTCTCAAACTCCTGAGCTCAAGTGATCTACCTGCCTTAGCCTCCCAAAGTGCTGCAATTACAGGCATGAGCCACTGTGCCCAGCCAAATGCTATAATTTTTAATGATTAAAAATAATTTTTAACTCCTGACATAAAAGCTTTACCCTTTTAAAAGTCTTATATCTTGGCCAGGTACACTGGCTCATGCTTGTAATCCAAGCAGTTTGGGAGGCTGAGGCAGGAGGATTGCTTGAGGCAAGGAGTTAGAGATCAGACTGGGTAACAAAGCCAAGATCCCGACTCCACAAAAAAACTTAAAAATTAGCCAGCCAACGTGGTACATGCCTGCAGTCCCAACTACTCAGGAGACTGAAGCAGGAGGATCAATTGACCCTTGAGCCCAGGAGGTTGAGGCTGCAGTGAGCCATGATCATGCCACTGCACTTCAGCCTGGTGACAGAGCAAGGCCCTATCTCTAAAAGTTAAAAAAAAGTTTTATATTTTGAAGAGGTCTTGATAAAGATTGATGTTGCACAGCCTAAAGTATAACAACATGTGGGACTATATAAGTTTAATATATTCATACCTCTATGAAACTTACAAGACACCTTGATAAATATTTTATTTATGTCTTCCTTCTTGAGAACCTCAAAAATCAAGAGTATTAAACAGTTACATTAAAAAGGACTTCACAGATTGCTTCCCTAGTTTAAATGAGTTTACAAGTGCCAAATAGGGAAATTAAGAAAAGGTTAATTGAAATGCAAATTATAAATGTTTAAGATTAAATAACACATTGCCATTGGCATAAAGAAACTTCAAATCCAGTTCCAAGATGACTATCTAAAATGTCAGGTCACCTTTAAAAATGAGTTACTTTCTCTCAACTGAAATAATTAATAATTTGAAGGGGAAAGGTAAAAAAGCAATTAAGTGCTCACAACAGCATCAAGTTCAGTGTGTTTAAAGGTAAGGTCCTTCTAAGTGACATTTAAGGCACCACTAAAAAACAGAGTATGAGTTATCTTTCATTTGTTTCAATAGAATAATTTCTACTCAGACACCTATACTTTCTCTGAGGAAGTCAAGATCTAAGTTAGAAAAACTAAGACGGGGCTGAGCGTGGTGGCTCACGCTTATAATCCCAGCACTTCAGGAGGCCAAGGTGGGAGGATCACCTGAGGTCAGGAGTTCAAGATCAGCCTGGCCAACACTGTGAAACCCCATCTCCACAAAAATACCAAAATTAGCCAAGTGGGTACCTGCAATCCCAGCTACTCGGGAGGCTGAGATGGGAGAACAGCTTGAACCCAGGACACAGAGGTTGCAGTGAGCCAAGATTGTGCCACTGTACTCCAATCTGGGTGACAGAATGAGACCCCATCTCATTAAAAAAACAAAAACAAAAAAACATACAACCTAGATTGAGGTGTCTTTTCTGCTGTGAAACTAACTGTCCAATAAAGCAAACCTTTGATCTTGGCTTCATTATCACTAGTTTTAATGTAACTGATATGCTAACTGATATAACTAGCCTAGACAGGGCTATATAAGCTAATAAGACTGAGTTTTTGTTTAAGTACTCTTTGTTGACATGAATACAGACAACACTTTGTCATAAAAGGGCAGTACAATTTTTGGTTTCTCCAAAATAACCTTTGTTTTGAAAGCTTAAGCCTCTAAAATGTTTGCATTTTTAAAAACTTAAAAGGGTCGCTGTGTGTGCTGGCTCACGCCTATAAACCCAGCACTCTGGGAGGCCAATGCAGGTAGAGCACCCAAGGTCAGAAGTTCGAGACCAGCCTGGCCAACGTGGTGAAACTCCATTTCTACTAAAAATACAAAAAATTAGCCAGGTGTAGTGGTATACGCCAATAATCCCAGCTACTTGGGAGGCTGAGGAAGAAGAATCGCTTGAACCTGGGAGGCGGAGGTTACAGAGCCGAGATCACGTGAGCTGAGATCACGTCACTGCACTCCATCCTAGGTGACAGAGTAAGACTCCATCTCAAAAAAACAGAAAAAAAAATTTTTAAGGCTGAAAACTTTTCTGTATGTTTTCATTCTGTTTAAAAATGATTTTAAGGCCGGGCGCAGTGGCTCATGCCTATAATCCCAGCACTTTGGGAGGCCGAGGTGGGTGGATCAAGAGATCAAGAGATCTTGACAAGGTCAAGAGATCGAGACCACCCTGGTTAACGAGGTGAAACCCCATCTCCACTAAAAATACAAAAATTAGCTGGGCATGATGGTGCGCGCCTGTAGTCCCAGCTACTTAGGAGGCTGAGGCAGGAGAATTGCTTGAACACAGAAGGCGGAGGATGCGGTGAGCGGAGATCATGCCATTGTACTCCAGTCTGGGTAACAACAGCGAAACTCCGTCTCAAAAAATAAATAAATTTAATTAATTAATTAATTAATTTTTTAAAAATTGATTTTAAGGCTGGGTGCGGTGGCTCACGCCTGTAATCCCAGCACTTTGGGAGGCCAAGGCGGGTGGATCACGAGGTCAAGAGATGGAGACCATCCTGGTCAACATGGTGAAACCCCGTCTCTACTAAAAATACCAAAAAAAAATTAGCTGGGCATGGTGACGCGTGCCTATAACTCCAGCTACTCAGGAGGCTGAGGCAGGAGAATTGCCTGAACCCAGGAGGCGGAGGTTGCGGTGAGCCGAGATCACGCCATTGCACTCCAGCCTGGGTAACAAAAGTGAAACTCCATCTCAAAAAAAAAAAAGATTTTAAAAATCAATGGGCATGGTGGCTCACACCTGTAATCCCAACACTTTGGGAGACCCGGGCGGGTGAATCACCTGAGGTCAGGAGTTCAAGACCAGCCTGACCAACATGGAGAAACCCCGTCTCTATTAAAAATACAAAATTAGCCAGGTGTGGAAGTGCATGCCTGTAACCCCAGCTACTCGGGAGGCTGAGGCAGGAGAATCGCTTGAACCTGGGAGGCAGAAGTTGCAGTGAGCTGAGATTGCACCACTGCACTCCAGACTGGGAAACTCCGTCTTAAAAAAAAAAAAAAAAAAAAGACAGGGTCTCAGCTCTGTCACAGTAGCATGATGTTAGCTCACTGCAGCTGTAAACTCTTGGGCTTAAGTGATCCTCCTGCCTCAGTCTCCCAAACAGCAGAGAAATTACAAGTGCACCACCATGCCTGGCTGTCACAGATACCCAGAAACAAAAACAAAGGAGAGGAGGGAGAGACTTTGCAACAAATATACATATAAAAAGTTCTTACAAATCAATAGAAAATAAATAAATGGATGGAAGAAGTGAAAGGCAAAATAAATAAAATGTCCAAAAAATCATATGAACAAACACTCAGTTATATTATGAATCCAAAATAGAAGTTCTCAAAGTATGGTCCACAGATCCCCAGAAGTCCTTGAAATACTCTCAGGGTATATAGGTCAACACTATTTTTTTTTAAGTTTTATTTATTTAATTATTTTTAATTTAAAATTTCAAAAAGAGATAGAATCTCACTATGTTCCTCAGGTTGGTCGCAAACTCCTAGACTCAAGTGATCCACCTGTCTTGGCCTTCCAAAGTGCTGGGATTACCAGCATGAGCCACCTCGCCTGGCCTCAAAACTATTTTCAACAAAATAACATTAAGACCTTATTTGCCTTTTTCACTGTGTTGACACTTAAACTGATGGTATAAAAGTAATCACAGGTAAACAGGCTCCTTAATTAGCATGAATTAAGGCAGTGCCATCAAACTTACTAAGAGTCATTGTATTCCTCACACCATGCCTCCAAGTTTTATTTAATAATGTTTTGTTTATTAAAGATTATTTATTTTATGAAACTAACCCGAGTACACGTCTTTATACTCTTTATACTATTCTGAGTGAATGTGAAGCGTACATAAAACACCTCTGCTTCAGAGGAAGAAAGTATGCCAGCTATCCTGAGGAAGAGGACTTGCACAACTGTTTTAATGGCAACTGACCAAACTGCTTTTTCTCATTCATCATTTTTATTTGAAAGAGTATGTGGCAGGCCAGGCACAGTGGCTTATGCCTGTAATCCCAGCACTTTGGGAGGCAGAAGCAGGAGAATCACTTGAGCCCTAGGCAACATAGTGAGACCCCTATCTCTATCAAAAAAAATTTTTTTTTAATTAGCCAGTTGTGGTGGTGTGTGCCTGTGGTCCCAGCTCCTTGGGAAGCTGAGGTGAGAGGATCACTTGAGCCCAGAAGGTCAACGCAGCAGCAAGCCATGATCATGCCACTGCACTCCAGCCTGGGCAACAGAGCAAGACCCTGTCTAAAAAATAAAAATTATATTTTAGCCAGGCGCGGTGGCTCACACCTGTAATCCCAGCACTTTGGGAGGCTGAGGCAGGTGGATCACGAGGTCAAGAGATCGAGACCATCCTGGTCAACATGGTGAAACCCCATCTCTGCTAAAAACACAAAAAATTAGCTGGGCATGATGGCACATGCCCGTAGTCCCAGCTATTCAGGAGGCTGAGGCAGGAGAATTGCCTGAACCCAGGAGGCGGAGGTTGCAGTGAGCTCAGATCGTGCCATTGCACTCCAGCCTGGGTAACAACAGCGAAACTCAGTCTCAAAAAAAAGAAAATCTATTCAAAGAAAAAATGAAAGATGTGGCAATAATTGTTTTACTGCAAGGCTATATACATCTACAACAGTTTATAAAGACATAAACTAGATACAACTTAAATGGAAGACAAAAATTCAGCCATGAAAAATTATACTGTCTATGAAAAATTTTAAAACAGGTTACAAAACAGTATGTATAGTAAGAACCAAATTTTATATATTGGAAAGAATTTGGCATGTGGGTAAAGCAAGTTAAATTTTTTTAAGAGAATTTAAAAAAAGAATATACCAAGATATTAACAAATGGGTATTTAATATACCAAAGTATTAACAAATGGGTATTAATATAGCTTGGAGTATTTTAATTTATTATTTTTATCTATATATTTTTTAAGTTTTGCTTTTTAATCACAAAAAGTCAAAGATGGTTTAACAACAGGTTAAATGATAAAAAGCTGTAAGAAAAGCCACCACTCTCTTCTCTTATAAAATATATCCTGTTGAATTCCATCCTCCCTAGGGTAGCTGATGTTAACAGCCTGGAAGTATATATCCTTTCATACTTTTACCTGTGCTCACACCAATCAGGCAAACAGCCAAATACTTAATATACCGATATCCCCTGTTTATTTACCTTGTTTGTTTTTGCCAATATGGGACAATGATTACCTCTTGATTTTTTTCCCACTTTTTAATATACCACAGACACATCCCAATCAAAAGATAAAAATTTCATTTTTTTTTTTTGAGATGGAGTTTCACTCTTGTTGCCCAGACTGAAGTTCAATGGCATGATCTCAGCTCACTGCAACCTCCACCTCCCGGGTTCAAGCAATTCTCTTGCCTCAATCTCCTGAGGAGCTGGGATCACAGGTGCATGCCACCATGCCTGGCTAATTTTTGTATTTTTAGTAGAGATGGGGTTTCACCATGCTGGCCAGGCTAGTCTCAAACTCCTGACCTCAGGTGATTCACCTACCTCAGCCTCCTAAAATGCTGGGATCACAGGCATGAGCCACCACACTGGGCCTCATTCATTCTTTTTAATAGCTATATAGTATTTCTTTCTTTTTTTTTTTTTAAATAATAAAGGCAAGGTCTTACTATGTCACCCAGATTGGTCTTGATCTCCTAGGCTTAAGTGATCCTCCCATTTCAGTCTCCCTGAATGCTAAGATCACAGGTGTGAGCCACTGCACCCAGCCTGCTACATAATATTTCTTAAAACATACATGAACCATAATTTAGTCAATGTTTCCTAGCAGTAATTGTTTCTTTGCAAGTTTTTAATGCTACAAACAATGTTTCAATAAACATCCTTGCACATATACCCTTACATTTTGATTTTTTTAATCCTCAGGACAGTGTCTTGAAAGTGAGTCTGCTGGCTACAAATATATTTTATTTTTATTTTTTATTTGTATGTATGTATGTATTTATTTATTTATTTATTTATTTATTTTGAGATGGAGTCTCACTCTGCCACCGAGGCTGGAGTGCAATGGTGCACTCTTGGCTCACCGCAACCTCTGTCTCAAGGGTTCAAAGGATTCTCCTGCCTCAGCCTCCCGAGTAGCTGGGATTACAGGTGCTTGGCACCACACCCACCTAATTTTTTTGTATTTTTAGTAGATACAGGGTTTCACCATGTTGGTCAGCCTGGTCTCGAACTCCTGACCTCATGATCCACCTGCCTCGGCCTCCCAAAGTGCTGGGATTACAGGCATGAGTCACCACGCCCGGCCTTATTTTTGTTTTTTTTAGAGACAGGATCTTACTATGCTGCCTAGGTTGGTCTCAAACCCTTGGCTTCAAGTGATCCTCCTGCATCAGCCTCCTAAAGTGCTAGGATTATAGGCATAAGGCACTAAGCCCAGCCTATACATATATTTTTAATTAGATGTTGCTAAATTACTCACCAGAAATGTATGAGATATCATACCCTGACCCTGACCAACCATGGCTATTATTTTGCCAATCTGGTAATTTATTGTTGCTTTAATTTGTATTTCCTGCCTGCTGAGAGACTGAGGTTTTCATTTTCTTATTGACTATTCGTATCTCTTCATGTTCTATCTTTGCTCATATTTCCATCGCTATCATATTATGCAAATAATTTTTCCTGAAGTGAGAATCATAACTCATATCAAATTCAAGGATAATCTTCAACTGAATTAAAGGTTTAAATGATCAAAATCAATCAAACTATTAATAGAAAATACAATATCTGCATAAACTTGGGATTGAGGAAGTTTTCTCAAGCAAAACAGAAAATTCAGAAGCAACAAAAAAGAAACAGACATGTGACTACATTAAATTACAAGTTTTACATGTATTTTCTCACTTTTAAATCATAAACAGGCATTGCCATGAGAATTTTTTAAACAGGAAAAAATGTTTTAAAACTGTAAATAGATACTAACAATACTATGATCATTCCTAGAGTAAGACATGCAAAGAACTTCATTAGATGCACAGGTGCTAAACTCATACAACCAAACACAACTGCCTTTTCATGCTGCTATCACTACAAATAAAAGCTATGTGTGGAATTCTACATTCCCAACTCCTATTTCTGTATCCTATTCAGTAAGTATTATGCCCTCCAGTTTTGGCCCTCTGTATCCATGGGATCCACATCTGTGGATTCAGCCAATCACTGATCAAAAATATTTGAGAAAAAAGATTACATTAAAAAATAAATTTTAAAAAATAATAATAAAAATAAAAGGCTGGTCCGAGTGCAGTGGTGTTCACAACTAATTGATCACAACCAGTTACGGATTTCTTTGTTCCTTCTCCACTCCCACTGCCTCACTTGACTAGCCTTTAAAAAAAAAAATTATATTTGTACTGAACATACACAGACTTTTTTTCTTGTCATTATTCCCTCAATACAGTATAACAACTGTTTTCATAGCATTTACATTATATTAGGTATGATAAGTAATCTAGAGATGATTTAAAGAATACGAGAGGATGTGCATAGGTTATGTGCAAATACTATACTGTTTATATCAGGAATTTGAGCATCCTCAAATTTTGGTACCTGGAACCAATCCACCACACATGTATAGGGACGACTGTGTTTACTTTAAGGTGATCTACCTAAATACAGAATCTTTCACTGTACCACTCTGCCCAATTGTTACTCCACCCCCATCACATATGGAGTAATTATGAAAGGGAAGCCCGACACAACAGAACACATTTTGCCATATTATGTATCTATGAGATGATAAAATAGGTAACTCACCTAAATGGGGAAACAGATCAGTGTCCAACTGATGTTTTTGGGTGCACAGTTTCACCAGTCTCTGCAGTCGACTTATACATGAGAAGTGTGGAGAGAAGGCTGTGGCTTTCATGAGGATCCGGTCAGTCCTGGGTGGGTCCACGGGGGGAGCCCTACTGGATGGCAGGAGGGGCAGAGGCCTCTTGTGAGACAACTGCCGTGCTTGTGCTATAGTGTGTGTGGTGGGTGCCACTCCCTGCATTGGTAGGCTGGTGTTCTGAGGTTGAGGTGACTTGCAGACTGAACCCTGCGGTGGCGCTGGAGGTTTTAAAGAAGTGGATAAAGGTGACAGGTGGGAGTGCTGCTGTGGAGGCTGCTGCTGTGAAGGTGCAGGAGGGGGGCTAAAGTGCTCTTGTCGAACTTTTAAAATCTCTGTCTCTCTCTGGCGCTGCCGATTCTGGGCCAACTTGCTCTGTAACTTCTTTCTCACAGTTGCCCCTTTCTTTAGGTCATCATCTTCCTCGTTGAAAGCAAATGGGTCTTCCAACTCAGTTTCCAGGTAGTGGAGAGGGACCCTTGCCCCAGGTGGAGAGAGGGACATTCCATCCAGTCCGTTGGGCATCTTCAAGGCCAGCGTGGGCACCGTCAGGCTAAAGGCCATGGTATCCATCTGGTGCCTGACCTTCACCTCATCTATCGGATCATTCTTTTTCTTCCTCTCTTTTTTCGGGATAAAGCCAAGTACCTGCAAGTGGCTGTTGCAGTACCTTTAAAAACACACACATACATGAGACAATATTCATGACACATATTTTAAAATGTAGAACATAAACTACATGTGAATCCTAACATGTTAAAAACTGCATCACTATTGTGACTCTTGAAAGTTGGTGCCTTAACATGCAAGCCATTCTCAAAGTCAGTGTAATTTTGATGAGGCAAATATGTGAACTGTACATGCACAGAGGTGGCCAGACAGAACCAAGTCATTCAGTTACTAAGTGGCCCTGGATAACTGCTCATCTACTGCTTCTCTATTCATAATATACAAAGTAACTCATCAAGATTCTGAAAGATCACTTAAAATTCTTTTATAGAGAAAAAAATATATTTTCTAATGCATTAAAGTATTTGGAGATTCACAAAGCACGTATGACATAAAACCCTCAAGAATATCAAGAGTCTACAGTGCTTTAGACACACAACATACACACACACACACACACACACACACACACACACAGAGAGAGAGAGAGAGAGAGAGAGAGAGAGACAAAGAGAGAATGGAACAAGAAAGTAAAGGATGGCTAGTGGGGTTATAGGTGAAATGCCTTTTTCAGTAGCCAGATGTTAAGTATATGAATTATTTCCTATAGTACCTACCTGCAGTAGGCGCTAAAATAATGCCCTTAATGCAGACAAGGAAACTAAGCTTTACAGAAACTGATTAACTTGCCTGAGACTGTTTCCAGCTGGAAAGAGTCAGAGTTAAGACCATCTAAAATCACAGCTCAGGAAGACGCTCATTAGTCTTCAACAATGAGCAAGTACACTGCTCAGGTGATGGGTGCACCAGAACCTCACAAATCACCACTAAAGAACTGACTCATGTTAATCATGTAACCAAATACCACCTGTACCCCAATAACTTATGGAAAAATAAAATAATAACTTAAAAAAATGCTTGATAGAATTCACCAGTGATGACATCTCAACATGGACTTTTCCTGTGGAAAGTTTAAAAAAAAGAACAAGTTACTCCTGTAATTAAAATGCTATTTTAAAACCCTATAAAAGGGCCAGGCGTGGTGGCTCATGGCTGTAATCCCAGGACTTTGGAAGGCCGAGGCTCACTGCAACCTCTGTCAAGAAGGATAGCTTGAGCTCAGGAGTTCCAGACCAGCCTGGGCAACATGGCAAAACCCCATCTCTACAAAAATAAAATACAAAAATCAACCAGGTGGGGTGGCGCCTGCCTGTAGTCCCAGTTACTTGAGGGTCTGAAGTAGGAGGATCACTTGAGCACCGGAGGATGAGGCTGCAGTGAGCCAAGATCGTGCCATTGCACTCCAGGCTGGGTGAAAAAGTGAGATATTCTTAAAAACAAAAGCCTATGAAAGAATAAAGTCAGGCCGGGCGCGGTGGCTCAAGCCTGTAATCCCAGCACTTTGGGAGGCCGAGGCGGGTGGATCATGAGGTCAAAAGATGGAGACCATCTTGGTCAACCTGGTGAAACCCCATCTCTACTAAAAATACAAAAAATTAGCTGGGCATGGTGGCGCGTGCCTGTAATCCCAGCTACTCAGGAGGCTGAGGCAGGAGAATTGCCTGAACCCAGGAGGCGGAGGTTGCGGTGAGCCGAGATCGCACCATTGCACTCCAGCCTGGGTAACAAGAGCAAAACTCCGTCTCAAAAAAAAAAAAAGAAAAGAAAGAATAAAGTCCCTTCACATAATGAGAAAACAGAATACATGTCACGCCAATTGACCACACTGAAAACCTATGAAGGCTTTTAACCAGAAGAACAGTGTTTTTAAGTTGATATTCTTCATATAAGAATAGTATTCCAGCGAGGCGGGGTGGCTCACACCTGTAATCCCAGCACTTTTGGAGGTCAAGGCAGGTGGATCACCTGAAGTCAGGAGTTCGAGACCAGCCTGGCCAACACGGCGAAACCCCATCTCTACTAAAAATATAAAAATCAGCCAGATGTGGGGTAGGTGCCTGTAATCCCAGCTACTCGGGAGGCTGAGGCACAAGAATCGCTTGAACCCAGGGGACAGAGATTGCAGTGAGCCACGATCACACCACTGCACTCCGGCATGGAAGACAGTGAGTCTCCATCTCAAAAAAAAAAAAAAAAAAGTACTCCATGCTTAAATAAATTTGGAAAATGCTGGATTAAACACAATTAAAGAATAATTTTGTTGTTTTTTGTTACTAATGTGCAATTACTCAAAGCATTTTGTATAATGTGCATCATGAAGTTCCAAGAGGAAAATGTACCCATCTGGCAGTGTTTCCCAAAGTTATTTGAAAATGAAACCCAGGGCTAAATGTGGTGGCTCATGTCTGTAATCCCAGCACTTCGGGAGGCCGAGGCAAGAGGATCCCTTGAGGCCAGGAGTTCAACATCAGCCTGAGTAACCTAGCAAGACCCTGTCTCAATTAAAAAAAAAAAAAAAAAAAAAAAAAAAAAACAATGAAAACAGAACCAGCCAGAGAAGTGACTCATGCTTGTAATCCCAGCACTTTCGGAGAAATGCAGGTGGTTCACTTGAGGTCAGTAGTTTGAGAACACCCTGGCCAACATGGTAAAACCCCATCTCTACTAAAAATACAAAAATTAGCCAGGCATGGTGGCAGGCGCCTGTAATTCCAGCTACTTGGAAGGTTGAGGCAGGAAAATCCCTTGAACTCATGAGATTGAGGCTGCAATGAGCTGAGATTATGCCACTTCACTCCAGCCTGGGTGACAAAGCAAGACTTAGCCTCAAAACAAAACAAAACAAACAAACAAAAACAAAGAAAAGAGAACCTATTTTTCTTGTAGCATATAGGTAATAATAGCTCCACATAACATAGTTTGGGAAAAAAACACTAAAGTAAAAAAATGTCAATCCTTGGCTGGGCGTGGTGACTCATGCCTGTAATCCCAGCACTTTGAGAGGCTGAGGTGGGTGAATCACTTGAAGCTAGGAGTTCAAGACCAGCTTGGCCAACACGGTGAAATCCTATCTCTTAAAAAAAAAAAAAAAAATACAGATTCACCAAATAATCAGAAAATCTCATAAACAGAGTATGTGTGTATGTTTTGTTGTGTCATTTTAGAAATAAATCTATCAGAGGCACTCTTTTATTTAAGATAGGCTTCTTGGGGCCGGGAACGGTGGCTCACACCTTTAATCCCAGCACTTTGGGAGGCCGAGGTGGGTGGATCACGAGGTCAAGAGATCAAGACCATCTTGGTCAACATGGTGAAACCCCGTCTCTACTAAAAATACAAAAAATTACCTGGGCATGGTGGCACGTGCCTGTAACCCCAGCTACTCAGGAGGCTGAGGCAGGAGAATTGCCTGAACCCAGGAGGCTGAGGTTGCGGTGAGCCAAGATCGCACCATTGCACTCCAGCAGCCTGGGTAACAAGAGCAAAACTCCATCTTAAAAAAAAACGTAAGATAGGCCTCTTAAGAAAAAGCTTTCTTTGTCATGTGCAGCCACTGAAAAAGAGAAAAACCTTTCTAGCCAGCAAAGTGAATGTACACTATGTACACTTTGTGTACACACAGTGTGTGTGTGTGTGTGTCTGTGTGCATGCACACGTGCATGCCTAGCAGGTTTCAGCTAGGTACCATATATACATCTGAAACAGAACAGATTCACAAAGCAATGGCCAGCAAAGAAAGAGAAGGCATCTGGGATAACTGCACTAACCAAGAAGTTTCTCAAGAACACGAAAAAATCTAATAAAGAATAAATTTGGCCTGGTGTGATGACTCATGTCTATAATCTCAACATTTTGAGAGGCCAAGGCAGAGGGATTGCTTGAAGCCAGGAATTCGAAACAAACCTGGGCAACCTAGCAAGGAGATGGAAGCTCCATCTCCTCAAAAACTTTTTAAAAAATCAGCTGTCTACACGACACATGCCTGTAGTTCTAGCTACTTGGGAGGCTGAGGCAAGAGGATCATTTGAGGCCAGAAGTTTGAGGCTGTCGTGAGCTACAATCATGCCATTGCACTCCAGCCTGGGCAAAAGAATGAGACCTTATCTCAAGGAAAAAAAAGAAAAGAAAAACAAATGTATAACTCAGTACTTATGGCTGGGTGCAGTAGCTCACGCCTGTAATCTCAGCACTTTGGGAGGCAGAGGTGGGCAGATTACTTGAGGTCAGGAGTTCAAGACCAGCCTGGCCAACATGGTGAAGCCCCATCTCTACTAAAATATAAAAATTAGCCAGGTGTGGTAGTGTGCACCTGTTGTCCCAGCTACTGAGGAGGCTGCAGCAGGAGAATTGCTTAAACCCAGGAGGCAGAGGTTGCAGTGAACCAAGATTACGCCACTGCACTCCAGCCTGGGCAACAGAGTGAGACTCCGTTAAAAAAAAAAAAAAAATTAGGCCGGGCGCGGTGGCTCACGCCTATAATCCCAGCACTTTGGGAGGCCGAAGCGGGTAGATCACAAGGTCAAGAGATCGAGACCATCCTGGTCAACATGGTGAAACCCCGTCTCTACTAAAAATACAAAAATTAGCTGGGCACGGTGGGGTGCACCTGTAATCCCAGCTACTCGGGAGGCTGAGGCAGGAGAATTGCTTGAACCCAGGAGGCAGAGGTTGTGGTGAGCCGAGATCGCGCCATTGCACTCCAGCCTCAGTAACAAAAGCAAAACTCCATCTCAAAAAAAAAAAAAAAATCAGTACTTATTAAACACAGCTTCTCTAGAGACAAAACATGAAAGTCCTTTCCCTTATCTTGTTCTCAGAAGAGCAAACTATTTCAAAGACAAAATTGAATATAGATGTTTCAGAGAATATTTTAAAGAAATTCATAAGGACTCTCACTTATGAGAGATGGGGTCTTGTTCAGTTGCCCAAGCTGGAGTACAGGTGTCATGATCCCATCTCAGCCTCCAGAGTACCTAGGACTCCAGGTGCACACCACCACATCTGACTCTTTTAGTATTTTCTGTAGAGATGGGTTTTCGCCATGGTGTTCAGGCTGGTCTTGAACTAGGCTCAAGCCATCCACTGCTGCGACCTCCAAAAAGTGCTGGGATTACAGGCATGAGCCATCATACCCAGTCCCTGCTACTAACTATTAAGATAACCCTTGCTTTGGTTCAACTGAAAACAAATCCAATGCTGACAACTGTAACTATAATAAACTGATTTAGCACAAAATTTTAGAAATGTGTTTACAATGGAGCTTGATGTAAAAAATACTAATCCAAGCACATCCATTCTTCAAATTAAAAAAGGGCAAGAAATTATCATTTTCAGTCTGCTAAAAGCCAGACAGATATATTTAGCCTAATACATAGGTCCCTTTCTCACCTGAGATTAAAATTTTATTCCTTGCCTCACTAAGCAGCTGTTTCTTTCAGGTATTGTAATTTGAAGCCTTAGGTGCTCATTAGAAATTCCAAGAGAGTATTCCTAAATCCCCGTTAAACTATTTGTACTCATTTTGGTGAGATGTCCCCCAACACAAATTATTTATTTCATACTACCAGCATAAAAAGTATTCAAGACATAAAATATCTGATTTCTCTCAACCAATTTACGCAAGTGACATTTGCTAATATATAGAAACATGGATGAAAGTTGTGTGTGTGTTTTAAGATAGAAGTAAAAGGTTCAAGTTTTCTTTTTTTTTTTTTTGAGACGGAGTTTCGCTGTTGTTACCCAGACTGGAGTGCAATGGCACAATCTCGGCTCACTGCAACCTCCGCCTTCTGGGTTCAAGCAATTCTCCTGCCTCAGCCTCCCGAGTAGCTGGGACTACAGGCATGCACCACCATGCCCAGCTAATTTTTGCATTTTTAGTAGAGATGGGGTTTCACCTTGTTGACCAGGATGGTCTCAATCTTTTGACCTCGTGATCCACCCACCTCGGCCTCCCAAAGTGCTGGGATTATAGGCGTGAACCACCGCACCCGGCCACAAGGTTCAAATTTTCTACCTAGAGATGACAAGTAATCTAGAAACTTTTAGAAAACAAGCATGTATCTCTCAGTGAAGGCCTGCAATGATCTATATGGTTTCTGGAGAACAGAAATAAAAGAAACTGGAGAAGAGATCATATATGAATAGTGTGAATTTTCCTAACAATATGGAAGACAAATAGCCAGTGTAAGACTCCTTTAAAAACAATTCCATTTTCTTTTAATTCAGCAAAGCATATATTCATCATTCCAGTGGTAAAACCAACCCTTAATGTGAAATACTGTTTCCAAATTATGGTAAACATATTCTGTTTGGAACACTTTTTAACCAAAAAAAGGCAAGGTTATAAAACATGCCAAACACTGGTTAGCAGTCTGATAGAAAGTATATTTAAAAGATTCAAGTAGTATTTTTTTTCCATAAGTATATATCCTTTACTAACTTGTAGGCATAGATTTTAAACTCCAAAATTACTATCATAATTACAACATCTAATTAGTTCTTATAATTTCTCTCATTTAGGCAAATGAGAAAACTAAGTAGAGAAGTCAGGAATTCTTTATAAGGCCACACACCAAAGAAATCCATTTCAAGACTTTAAGCAGCAACTTTGAGGGGAAACAAATGTTTTTTAGTAATTCTAGAAGTTCATGAAATCAACTAAAAAGAAGATACTCAAACATTCTTTTCAAGTAATTCCCCACATTTACTACTCTATTTTTAAAAATTGCCTTATTTCATCCATAGTTTACTTAGATTACCCCCAGAATTCAATATTTAAATACCGAGAGGGAGAGAGGGAAGGATGGAGGGAGGGAGGGAGGGAGAAATGAAGGAGAGAGAGAGAAAAAAAAAGAGAAGAAAATACAAGAAAAAAAAAATTCCAAGCCTGTTAATTACATCAAGAATTGATTCTCATGATTAGCCCTTACCTACGATCCTCTGATTTGGGGATGGGGTTGGTGCAGCGTTGGCTGTTATACTTGGCCACATATTCACATTGCTTGAAGGGGGCAGTCTTGTCCTCCAGAACGTGTCTGATACAGAAGGCGTAGCCGTTGAGTCGCCTCTGCTTGCACAGTTTGGGGCTATATGAGCACAAGGGCTTATTGTCAACCTCAGAGAAGTGTATATGTTTCCCTTCATACATCACGTGACTCTATTCCTTGTGAACATCAGCTAAAAGACCACCACAAAAAAAGAAACCCAAATGATAAATCAGAGAGTATAACGCAGATTTAGGTTGAGAATTTCACTGAGGGACTTCTGGCCCCACAGCCATACCTGATTTTAAATCTTCTGCACCATAGCAATGTTAAGAGAACCCCCAAGGATACCACAGTTTGGAATGCCGCAGAATCAAGATGAAGCAGATTGTCTATAAAAATATCAAAAGGCCTAGTTAACAAACAGAATTAAGCAAAGCTAGTTCACCCAGGAAGCAAAATACTACAGTATCACCCTTCCTAATGCAATGGATTCTTCACTGTAAATCAACATTCCGATAATGAGGTTAAATAAGAAAATAAGAGACATTATAAAACATTACGTTGGCTGGGCACTGTGGCTCACGCCTGTAATCCCAACACTTTGCTCCCAAAGGCAGGCGGATCACCTGAGGTCAGGAGTTTGAGACCAGCCTGGCCAGCATGCCAAAACCCTGTCTCTACTAAAAATACAAAAATTAGCCAGGCATGGTGGCAGGTGTCTGTAATTCCAGCTACTTGGGAGGCTGAGGCAGGAGAATCATTTGAACCTAGGAGGTGGAGGTTGCCGTGAGCCAAGATCACACCCCTGCACTCCAGCCTGAGTGACAGAGCAAGATTCTGTCTCAAATTAAATAAATAAATAAATAAATAAATTACCTTATCCTCCAAAATCGAACTAAATAACATTTGCTCTGGTTAAGTTTTATGAATACCTCAAAGCAGCAGAACTCTTCCACCAAACGAATGTCACAGGTAGCAGGTCTCTTTTTTGTTACTGGTGTTTACATGCTATACTTATTTTCAGAACCCACATCCCTTTACAATGCCAACAGAATGGTAGACCTAAAGCTTCTCTCAGAAATTCCTTTTTTATATGATAGTAAAATATGTGGCAATTTATAAAAGTTTCTATGACACAAAATAAAGCAAATTTCTGCCATTAAAAATGTTCTTTCCCTTATAATATTTCCACACACCTATCCCATCCCAATCTTTATAAACTTCTCAGACACAAAGACCAGTCACCTGACCACACATCATTCAGTTCAGTGTTCTGTACCACGTGGTGCTTCCAATCACACTAAATAGCATAATAATCATGGCTTACAGGTCTTTTCAGAGTCAGTGAGAAAATGGAAGGAGAGAATTACACAATACTAACAGTCTATACACAAAAGGCCCAATGGTAGCATTTATATATTACAACACCATCTAGTCTATCATCGAACTGAATCTATTTTGCCAAGTGAGTCTCACCCATCCTCCTCACTTCCAGCAACCAAGATGGCTGATCGAACAGCTCAGATATCAGCTACTGAAAAAGTCCAGAAATACTCTCTCCTTTACCAGTGAATGACAAGATATATAAATGCTGGAGGTGTCAGACGTTGCTCAAGTACAAAATCTGCCACTTAATGTGTTACCTTGAACAAATCATTTAACCTATCTGAATCTCAGTTTTCTCATCTGTAAAATAGGGATAATAAAAGCAGCTATATTATCATCAGGATGCTGGAAGGATCAAATGATACAAAGCATGCAACCTACTAAGTAACATTCTTAGTATATGGTAAGTGCTGGAGAAACAAATTATTATTCCTAAGTGTTCATTCTTATAATACATGATTATGATACATGACTACATTCCACCTGACAGTAATAAAAGTAGAGATTTTGTATTCTTCTCCAGAAATACTTCACTTGCTGTAGGAAGAAAAAAAAAACACTCGAAATATTAACTTAGTTAATAAAAGTCATATTTTCTCTTCTGGAAGGAAAAAAAATCACTTTCATTACTAAGTAAATCACACAGTAATGTAAAAAAATAAAGCTTTCTCTTTCACCTTATGAAAATGTAAGAAAAAAAAGTTGGACTAGAAATTTCAATTTAGATGCTAAGAAACTGGATATCCACAGGCAGATAAATGAAACTAGACCCCCACCTTTCACCCCATACAAAATTAACTTAAAATAGATCAAAGACCTAATTGTAAGACCGGAAACTATAAAACTACTAGAAGAAAACATAGTGTACACTGATGTGGGGAAAGATTTTATGAGTTAAGATCTGAAAAGACAATGCAAGTAAAAATACACAAACAAATGGGATCTTATCAAACTAAAAAGCTTCTGCACAGCAAAGAAACAACCAACAGCCCAAAAAGTCAACCTACGGAATGGGAGAAAGTTATCTGCGAACTATTCAACCAACAAGGAATTAACATCCAGAATATTTAAGAAACAACCACCTCAACAGAAAAAATTCAAACAATTCAATTTTAAAATGGGCAAATGATCTGAACAGACATTTCTCAAAAGTAGACACACAAATGGCTAACAAACATATGAAAAGATGCTGAACATCACTAATCATTAAGGAAATGCAAATCAGAATTGGGGTGAGGTATCCTCTTACCCCACTTCAGATGGCTATTATCAAACAGACAAAAAAATGACAAATGCTGGTGAGGATGCAGCAAAAAGGGATCTCTTGTATGTTGTCTGGAAATGTGAACCAGTATAGCCACTACAAAGAACAGTAGGGCCAGGTGCAGTGGCTCACTCCTGTAATCCCAGCACTTTGGGAGGCCAAGACAGGTAGATCACTTGAGGTCAGGAGTTCAAGACTAGCCTGGTCAACATGGTGAAACCCTGTTTCTGCTAAAATTACAAACATTAGCTGGGCATGGTGGCATGTGCCTATAAGTCCCAGCTACTCAGAAGGCTGAGGCAGGAGGATCGCCTGAACCCAGGAGATCAAGGCTGCAATGAGCCAAAATCATGCCACTGCACTCCAACTTGGGTGACAGAGCGAAACTATCTCAAAACAAAAAACAAAAACAAAACTGAACAGCATGGTTCTTCAAAGAACTACAAATAGAACTATCCACTACCAGGCATTTATCCAAAGAAAAGGAAATAATACATCAAAGAGATATCTGCACTCCCATGTTTATTGCAGCACTACTGACAACAGCCAAGATATGGAATCAAACTTGATGTCTCACAACAGATGAATGGATAAAGAAAATGTGGCATATATATACACAACGGAATACTATTCAGCCAGTAAAAAGAATGAAATTCATGGGGGCCAGACGTCGTGGCTCACGCCTGTAATCCCAGCACTCTGGGAGGTCAAGGTGAATGGATCACCTGAGGTCAGGAGTTCAAGACCAGCCAGCCAACATGGCGAAACCGAGTCTCTGCTAAAATTACAAAAAGTAGCCAAGTGTGTTGGCGGGCGCCTGTAATACCAGCTACTCGGAAGACTAAGGAAGGAGAATCACTTGAACCCAGTAGCTGGCAGTTGCAGTGAGCTGAGATCGTGCCACTGCACTCCAGCCTGGGTGACAAAGCAAGTGTCTCTCTCTCTCTCTCTCTCTCTCCTCTCTCTCTCTCTCTCTCCTGGGTGACAAAGCAAGACTGACACACACACACTCTCTCTCTCTCTCTCTCTCTTTCACACACACACACACACACACACACGAAAGGATGAAATTCCCTTATTCACAGCAATATGGATAGAACTAGAGAACATTATCTTAAGTGAAACAAACATTTATGGAAAATTAAACACACATGTTCTCATTCATGTGGACACTAAAGAAACTGATTTCATAGAATTAAAAAGTAGGCTGGGTGCGGTAGCTCACTCCTGTAATCCCAACACTTTGGGAGGCCAAGTGGGCGGATCGTTTGAGGTCAGGAGTTCGAGACCTGCCTGGCCAACATGATGAAACCCCGTTGCTACTAAAAATACAAAAAGTAGCCAGGCGTGATGGCAGGCACCTGTAATCTCAGCTACTCGGGAAGCTGAGGCAGAGGCTGCAGTGAACCAAAATCATGCCACTGCACTCCAGCCTGGGCAACAGAGCGAGACTCCATCTCAAAAAAAAAAAAAAAGGAAGTAAAAAGTAGAACAAAGGCTACAAAGTAAAGACTGGGAATGGTGGGGGGGAAAAGGAAATAGGGAGACATCTGTTAAAGGACACAAAATTATGGCTAGAAGGGAGGAATAAGCCCTAGTGTTCTATAGCACTGTAGGATGGCTATAGTTAACAATAACTATTACACAGTTTCAACTAGCTAGAAGGAGGATATTGAATGTTTCCAATACACACAGAAAAATAATGCTTGAGATGATGGATATGCTAATGATCCTGCTGATCACTACACATTATATGAATCAAAACATTACTATATATTCCATAAATACGTACAATTATTTTGGGTCCATTAAAATTTTCTAATTTAAAAATTATAAATTGTAAACATTTAAATTTCATTTCCCTGGATGTTTGGGACAGGGAATATTTCAAAGCAAATCTATGCCATTTTTCATTTTTCACCATCTTTGCTCTATTCACCCACCAGCCAAACACACACATGGATCTTTCACAAATTATTTCAAGGAAACCTATATGAACTTCAAGAAAAAAAAGAAATCTAAATGTCTGTATGTAAGACAGTATTTCACAAATCATAAGAAGTCTCAGGGCAGGGATGGAAGGATATGAGGTTGCAGTGCACCGAGATTGTGCCACTGCACTTCAGCCTGGGTGACAGAGGAAAATCTGTTTAACACACACACACAAAAGAAACCAAATGCAACTCAACTGATGCATTCTGTGATAAATTCAAGCTTGTCTGACACAAATATCTGAACTATTGCTTTTTTGGTTTGAATTTATCAGCTGAGTCTTTGCCCGTACTTCTGTTCTCAACTTTTGAGGTATGTGTTGTGTTTTGTTTTATTTTATTTTATGTATTATTTTATTTATTTATTTTGAGATGGAGTTTTGCTCTTGTTGCCCAGGTTGGAGTGCAATGGGGCTATCTTGGCTCACTGCAACCTCTACAACCTGGGTTCAAGCGACTCTCCTGCCTCAGCCTCCCAAGTAGCTGGGATTACAGGCATGCACCACCACGCCTGACTAATTTTGTATTTTTAGTAGAGACAGGGTTTCTCCATGTTGGTCATGCTGGTCTCAAAGTTCCAACCTCAGGTAATCCACCTGCCTCGGTCTCCCAAAGTGTTGGGATTATAGGCATAAGCCACCACACCCAGCCTATTTTTATTTATTTTTTATTTTGAGGACAGAGTGTCACTTTGTTGCCAGAATGAATTGCAGTGGCATGACCATAGCTCAATGCAACCTCAAACTTC